AATTGTGATGAATTAGAAAGGACGACTACGACAAACTCGAATTTCAACGTGCCGCCATGTTATGTCTGCAGTGTGACCTTTACCATGTTCACCTCATTTTGCACGTGTTTCCGCGCCAACCTGTGGATATTCATGAATATTTAATAGCAATGAATTTCCTGCAGAATAAACCAGTTGGGATGATTTCGCGCTAACACCTCCATTTCGCGATTTTTTTTATTTTATTTTAACTACAAAAAACAAATTAATCGCCCCGACTGTGCCAGTGTACGTAGAAGTCTCAAAGACCCTGGTTCTAGAGCAAATGTGGAATCAGATTTTATTGGGTTTTGCTTCTTTTTTATTCTTTTAGTTATACATGTTTTATTTGGATTTTTTAGTCATATTTTTTTCAAATTTATTTTCTCAATTCTATTCTTTAAATTTCTGATTGCAAACGCCCAAAGATCTGAATAATCTCTATAGAAGATTGTGTTCGTGAGATTTCAAATAATTATATTAATCAGCCAGTCAGAGAAGACCTTGTATATACGGATTATTGTATTCGACGTCTAGCCATGGCTTTATACAATGCCTTCTCTGATTGTTCGTTGTAAATTGCGAGAGTTGAATGATGAGATCTTCCAAAGAGGTTGTCCACTAGGATTTTGGGTTTTTGCAGCCAGACAATTACAAAACAAAATAAAATACGTAAATAATTGAAAAAAAAATCACAAACTAAAATTGAAATAATTACCCCCTCTAAAATTAACTGATTTTAGTCAGATTGCATATGACCGTGTTAATGATGTGTGGTTTCAATTCATTTATCACAGCATAGGACATGCATGGAGTTTTGATGAAGCCATGGCCAAGTATGGATGTAAAGTTTATTCATTTGATCCAACGTGAGTACCAAATCGTTATGATTGTTAAATTCGAAACAATATAATCTGATAAAATATGCACTAGCAATGGCCGTTGCTATGTGTCGTCACATCCCTCGTGTTACGTCATTTGTCAGCCTATATACTCGAGAAACACATGTTACTTCCATCACTTGTCTTGTTTTGGCCCTACCATTTGCCATCCAGAGCCGCTATGCTAACATATACCTAGAATGGGTGATAAAGATTATATTATAGAGAAACACTAATTCAGTTCTATATTTGTATCTAGTATCGGAATGGAAGATCACATGCATTGCGAGAATGTGTGGTTTTATAATATGGGGCTATGGCATGATGACGTCGATAATATGACAGTTACTAATGGTGCACCTTGGAAATGCAGAACACTGAAATCTATCAAGAATATGCTTGGCCACATATATGTAAGTATTCAAATACTTATTATAAATAAGCTATCAGAATTAGAGATTTTCATGACGTCATAGCTTGACATTATCACGTGGTAATTTAAATCTTTATTTCCAGGTAAATTCATTTCACCCCCTCCCCCCATTTAACGTCAAAGCAAGCGAAAGACACTAAGATACATTGACTGGATATATTCTTGTTAATTGTAGGATGTTGTAGATGTTTTGAAGATTGACATCGAATCACACGAAATGAAAGTCTTTCCACAAATTTTAGAAAGTGGGATTATAAAACAGTTTAAAAGCGTCGTTTTTGAATTCCACATATGGGCGATACCCCATCGATTCGACGCAGACCCAGAGACAGTGTTGCGCGTGTACAGAATGTTGACAGAACTCTTGGACGCACACGGATTTAAACTGTATTTTGTTCACGAGAACGACCATTCACCAGTCATAAGATGGGGGAGCGTCGCTGGTGAGCATGCTACAAACATCGAACTTGGTTTTGCTAATGTCAATTATGTATAAATTAATTGCGTGTGCCGACCAGCACTGGCGCAATAACATGTTTTACTTCTATACTAGTCAACTTTGTATTTGTATCAGACATATTTTATATAACGTCACAGATATTGCCTACTAATTTCGTTTTTCTGTAAAGTCTGAATTAGATTAATATTACATGATTTAATACAGTCATACGAAAAATCACCGGATAATATGATCAGCAGATGTCTAGAAGTACCGTCGCCGTGAAAGATATGAAACATACAAACGAAACAACGTTTTTACACGTATATATAAAACATGTTGAAAAAGCGGCATGCAATTTTAGCAAATTGTGGTAAAATGACGTAATAGCGAAATGTTGATTTAGCGAATCTCTCTTGTCATTGTTGATTTCTTTGTTTGGCGGCTATTTTGAATTGATAATAAAGTCATTTAGTCATCTTGAATTAGCGAATCAGTTCTCTGACTAAATTCGCGAAAAAGACATGCTCGCGAAAAAAGACATGTTTTACAGTATATGTACACGTTTGGTATATATTATATTTGGTTATGAATATGTGCGTTTAATTATTTTATGTTTATAATATTGTGTAAAATTGTCAAAAAGTAAACAATACCAACTTTATAGCAGCACGGAGAGTGCGAGGATCAGTGTGCGAATCTGAAGAAGATCCATATGTATCGAAACGTTTTTAATGAAGCTCGAATGTGGAATATTTCACCGAACTTCAATTTTCGATATTATTCTAGCAATTCTGTGATTTGAACAAATATAATTACTTGTGTTTCAAAAATGGTGTATTATAACCACTGTAAATTTTAAAGATTCAATTCCAATATCAGTTTGTTGGTTTTCTATTTTCATAAAATATTTGAGCCAACCATCTCTGTCAGTCAAGGTCTGTACACGGGTACGCAAGGAAGTATGTGAGCAGACATGAACGTCGTGACCTAATGTTTACGTCATGTCTATTTTGTGTATTCCACACTTACAGTTTTACAACTAACATTTCACTGCAAGATCTCGCGTATTGTGGGAAAGGCACGGATCGAGTTTTGTCGCAAAAACGAATGATTTGATTTTGAACTCAAATTGATTTTTTTTATATCTCAATGTCAAAATACCGAATAACGGGATCTTTCAGATGGGAATTTGGTGTTGAGATACCTTTACTTTTTTCAAAATTTACCTTCTTCAAATGTGTCATTATTGATCGTGGAACACCCAACTTTGTCTCGTTTTTACGCCTGTTTTCACGCATAACGCGAGACCTCGCAGTGAACGGGAAATGGTATTTCCAATGGATGACCTACATGATAGTTAGCAGATTATTCTGAAAACAGCGCCACCAAACGACATGTAATCATGATTACAAAAAGTTGCCGTTGGTGGTGCGTGAATAGTATAATTGGTATGCGCCCACTGTCCAAAAATTGTCGAAGTAGAGTAAACGATTAACACATAAATTAAACAGACACATACATACATATTTTGTTTTATTTTTAACGATGGAAATTAAAGAGAAAATAAATCGCACATCATAAATTAGCACCTCGAAATATCCAAAATAAGATCATAAATTACTAAGTAAAAACAGCAAATATCTGTTAAAACACTATCACATATGCACTACATTGCTCATCAGTTTTTCTATTCTTGATAGCATCAAATATAATTGTCTACATATCTGCAGAGGAGGTCCAAACTCAGCAAAGACACTATGTTATCCGTCATTGCGTCACTATTAAATTCCATCTGTCTGTGGAATTAAGAGCGTATTTAAATAACAGTTTATCTCTTAAAATGTTTGAATCACGTGTCACAACACCAACTAAATGATTAATAGTTTGTCCCTGACAGATCTAAGGTCAAATCAATATTTGTATTGAAATATGATGTGAAAGTTCAAGTCTCTTCTATAGTTATTACAAGACTAATATCGATATAGAACTAGCAGCTGACACAATCAAATGATATTAAATACTATAAACATGTGCGAACAATGCTAACAATTCTTCGCCAGTATTAATATATATACGCCGAACAACAGAAGGGTTAAATTACAGCGCCCTCTAACAAATATCTTAATGTGTATGACCTTCATACTATAAATAGGAAATCACGTCTATCTACTTGCTGGGATATAAACCGATATTATCAGCAAGGCCGCGAGATAATATTTACGAACGAGATTTTCAAGGACGTACGACACAATTCAATACTATTTGTTTCCGTTATAGACTGTTATTAGGCTGACTGATGTTCGTTTGTTTTATTAAGAAATTGCTTCACAATCTACACACATCTGTCTACATATCGTTGTCACAAATTAATTGTAGTTTTATGAAGTAATTTATTACACAACTGCGCATGTCATTCAAATTACTGGTACGTATTATCATTTTACAGCACATGCGCATTTGTGTAGATTATTATTTCGTGCATGCATCAAATAATATCGTTTGATGCTTCAGCTATTTGCGATACACATAATACACAACAATGTGTACATGCAGAATCGAATAACTTTTTTACAAAATAGCCAAAGCTATCTATATCTAAAAAACGGCTTCCATCCCCCTGTTTGTTTAGAGCACTGGCAAACTGATAAATAATTATGTTAAAGAGGCATGTTAGGTGTGTGTTTTTTCTTATGACAATATTCAGAAGCAGTCTTTCTGTTGTTTTCCCCACCAAAGTCATAATGAAATAGAAAACATAATTCTCAAAACGACATTGTCGTATATTTACACGTTGCATTCGTGTAAAATACTGCGTTACACCCTCGTCTTAAGTACGTGTATATCACTTGAGCCAATGTATGGGAAAAGTGCGATCTCAATGTTGCATTTGTGGCCGCTTGCCAGATTCAGGTACACAAATCCTCCCATGATTACATCATCTCAATAGGATGTGCGCATGCGTATATCCCATGTTGTTATCTAGGCTTTCATTTGATATACAACGACACGGTGGTTTTGACTATCAGAAACGAATACACGATATGGTTCACTGGTCGTCACGGCAACCCCTCTTGGCACATTCAGCTCGTCTCCTTTGTCATGCGTGTCAACTCGACACAAGAACGCTCCCTCTGATGTGAACATCTGAACACGATCGTCACTTGTCACATATATATTGTCATGCTTGTCGACAGCAACTCCCCTCGGGTGGAAAAACTCGCCATCACTATTCCCCATGATTCCCGAACTTTCGAAGAAATTTCCCGTCGCTGTCGTAGATCTGTATTCGATGATTCTGGTTATCCGCAGCGATAATATGGCCTTTGCTGTTCCGCGCTAGAAAACACGGACGACTTACTTCGCCATCTTTGTCTCCCTCTGTTGCCATGGTGCCTCGAAAAGTTCCGTATCGAGAGAAAGTTTGGATGATATTCAAACTGACGTCTGATACATAAAACATTCCCTTTTTTTCAGAGTGTAAAATCCCACATGGTCGTTGCAAATGATCTTCATCCCAAAGAACCATTTTCACACGTCCATTAGTATCACACACTATGACCGTCTTGTTTGCAAAGTCGGAGACCATCAATTCATCTTTGCTCAAAACTTCAATCGCCATGGGAACAATTTCTTCTTCCATTTCCGGAATATCAAATTTCTTAATGTATCTGCCATCGAGCTGCATAATCTGTATTCGTCCATTTCCTGTATCGGCAACGACCAGTAGTCCTGTAGGAGACAGCGCCACCCCGTCTGGATAATTGAACTGTCCATCCTCGTCTCCTTTGCTACCGATTGTAGCTACTTTTTCAAATGTGGGTTTTTTCATAATCGACTTCTCTTTTTTCTTAATACTGTCAACAGTAACTAGTTTCCCAACTTTATCTTTTACTAGCTTCTTCTCAAAACTTTTGCTTTTTTCGAATCTCAGACAGATTGGCACAGGTATTGTTTCGATATCATAATCCGGAAACTGTTTTACCCGTTCATCTAGCTGCTTCTCTAAACAAAGTAATCCAACTTCGTTACTCTGCTTTAACAAGTCTTCGGCATATTTCTTACAGCTATCGTAGTTAATTTTTAGTGACTTTAATTTTTCTATTTTCCTTTTCAACGTTTCAGTTCTGCTCTCGAATTCTTTTTCTAGCTCTTCGTGCAAATTTCTCTCTTGTTCTTCTAACTGGGTGCGTATGTTATTAAACTGATCCCCAATCTGCTGTTCTGCATTTTCACTAGCTTCGTCAAGTTCTTTGATCATTTCTGCCAGTATTGTCACGGTTTTGTCAATCTTGCCTATTTCCTGGTGCAGTGATGTTTTCAAACCGTCAACTTTCGATTTTGTCACGATCGCCGCCTCTTCCAGTTCCACGTGTACGTGGTCTGGTTTGGAATGCTCGTACACTGAACATTCTAGACATATCGGTATCTGACAAGTCTGACAGTAAAGCTTAAGTTGGTTGCCTTCGTGGCTGGGGCAGATAATTGGTTTCAGAAAAGGCGATTCTGAGCTGACCATGATTTCGTATTCGTCCATGGACATAAGTTTGTGATTCCGAGTAACACGTATCTTCCCATGACTGCGCGTGCATGCCACACAGAAAGCCTGGCCGCATTCGACACAGTAGGAAGCGATCGGGTACTTGCAGCAACTTTCACACATCTTCCCGCTGTACTTGTTTTCAGAGCGTTTCACTAAGTCCAGTATGTTGTTCAACAGGTGGTTATCAGCTAAAACTTGCACGCCCCCTCGCGGTATCATGAAGAATTTCCGACATAATGGACACTTCGGCTTTTTCCGACGTGCGGCATCGGAAGCGAGGCAGGACTCACAGAACGAGTGAAAACAAGGCAGTATTTTTGGTTTGACGAATCGTTCAAGGCATATCGGACATTGTAGGAATCTGTCGTCCAGATCCTTGTGGTTAACTTTACCAGACATCGTAGTTCCCATGATCTGAAAGAAAAAACTAAAGCACTTAATAATTTTCCAAATTGGTTTCTGTATGTCAAAGGAAGAATATGCTACAGCAATACAATGTTGTTTCTGCAATTTATTTTCTAAAATTAACACCGTGCGTTTTTTTTTTTATTAATTGTCATAAATACTGTAAAATGACTAATTTTCACTGGGTTTAAATTTCACTGATTTACCATTTCAGGCATATTCAGTGGGTTTTAAATTCACGGTTTCGTCATTTAGATAATGTGTTCTATGCTAAATTTTACATATTTACTGGGTTTTAATTTAGCGCTCTTTCCAGTCAGCGAAATAAGCTAAATTAAAACTCAGTGAATAATTACCCCCTTTACAGTATCGAGCTTTTCCTTTGAATTTTTCCTCAACCTAACAATTTGTAGTGGAAATTGGCTGGATAGGTGGTGAATAGGTCCTTGAAATATTGTGTTTGGATGGCGTCGTATTCAAGCAGGCAGTATATTAAAACGACCAGGTGCGGTCGATGACTTTGGGGTCGAAGGTCAGGCAAACAAATTCATTCTTGGTTATTTATTACTAACTGTGCTATTGATGTTATGCAAAACATCAGACAGCATGAATTACTCGTATTAGTATTCTCAAATATTGCATTTCTAACGTGAACAAAACGCCGTAAAATCACCAGTTATAGAGTATATGTAACGGTCATGGTGATGATGTTGATATTACAGATGTTAAAATTGGTTGCCAGGGGGTATTGAACTTGACGTAATCGTAATCAAACAAATAAAAAAATATATTAGTATGAATACAAACACTATTGCGATATATTTTTCATTTTATTTGATTTGGTAGGGTATTTATGTCAGGCAGGATAAAAGTTTCCACTATGGCCATGCAGTTTTCACAAACATTTAACATACTCCACCACATACAATTACACACAGTTCGTACATGAACAGTGAAGCTATAATTCATTTAAATTACATTAAATTCAATATAATTGAAGTTTATTACACTAAAATAAATTGCAACTTCAGATAGAAATGTAATTTAAACTCGATTGAATTGCCACTGCGGTTTTATTACAGGTCAAGTAGACTGTATCTAGTTAAATTAATTTAAATTTAGTTGAATTAAACTGACTTAAATTTGATGTAATTTAATTAGAATTTGATGTTAACATAAGGGAATATGTAGGTGTACTAAACCATAACCCTAAACCTAATACCAAGACATGCACAATTGTAACAAAGTGAAGTCACTTGAATTAACGGTAGGCACTTGTACCATAACCCTTACAATCGTCAAGGTTATATGCTTGTCCAAGTGTGTTAAATGTCTTTTATGCCACTATATATATGTGTGTATGTGTGTGTATGGGTGTCTTATATACCGGTACAGACCCTTACTATGCCAACAATACTGTGTTTTATAGACAGCACATTGCATAGAAACTATGTATATAAAATCTATGTAGATTTAAAAGACTATCGTTATTTTAATTTCTATTTGACAGTTGGGCCACATAGTTTTTGCAGCTAAATTTGATTCATTAAGTTCAAGGATATCACGTCCCAATAATATTATTTGTATTATTAAGTAATTGTGAAATAATTTATAATTTATATCTAGATTAACGTTACTCGTGCCACATGTCTTAGTTACACAGACCGTTCCTGTAAAACATAATGTTAAATATACCATTCAAAACACATCATAAGTATTACCAGGCTTTTCTCGGATTTTATGCAATAGAAAACCCCGAAGTCTACGTGAAAAATGTAAAGTTATTATGCATAGACCTGCTGTTTTGTCATGAACGGGTTTTATAAGTACAGCAGTTCCTTTGCACACGAAATGCATATTATTGCATGCATGGTAGCTATTGCACCTGGACAACTCAGACTAATTTTGACATATTTATGGAGTTTTTCTGTTCTGCTATATGATATTTTATTGTAATTGTTCAAATATGTGTGATAGTCACAACATGACCGAGAAGGATCGACGTCACGGTCAATTGAAATTCTGAATAATTAGACTACGCCCTGACTCGGTAAGACGTTACGTATTTATCTTGCTAACATCGTTTCGATGACTAGCGACGAGGCATATTTATGTAGGAGCGGGTCACTGTGGAAACATTCGGGCACGAAAAACAAATCCACATAAGTACATACACAATTGGATTAGACCTTCCAGTGAATTCGTGAAGTTATCATAACATCTTCTAGAGTTTCCGACATCTTTACCTTGAAATATTGAGTCTACGATTCAGTGAACGACTACAGCACGACTAGTAACCATAGGTACACCCACTAAGATCACTTACAACAACACAACACATTGAAATTGTCAAAACAAGACAAATGGGGGATCATACAATGACCATATCAAAATTTAAAGTATGAAACATAACAACGAAAATACGCCATATATTAAAACAAATATTTGAGTAATGCATGTTGTATGGGTAGTTCAGATTACAACTGTTTAATGTTTAACCAAATACAGTGCAATGGACACATCACTCTATTAATTAAATTGTCCACAGAAATGATGTCGAAATTGAAGGATTCCAATTGACCATATTTATCTTGTCACCTAACCACGCGACTCGCATCCGATTACACAATATGCACGTGTCACAAGCGATACAATCCCAACCCTTTGTATTACATAACATACAGACTACAGACCCGAATCAATCTGAATAACATCTATATATATGCAGGCTCCAGGTCAGAATGGTCAACGGGCTTTGTTTTGTATACCCGGCTCCCGCTCCACGCACAAAGATTTTTGAGAGAAACACTCACCCATTCATACATGATTTCTTTACAAAGGCTCGGTAGGCAATTCTGAGTTTGGACACGAGCAGAGGTATTTATAGGTTAAATGCCGGCCATAAATATAAAATGTATTAATGCGCGAGGTCAAATATTATTCGTAACCCATTTATTATTTTGCAAAAATATGTTCCCTGGAAGTACATGACCAACCAAGCTTCACACTTGTTGCTGTGTTTTTATTGCGAAACCGGTATAAGAGAGTTACAGCGAGTACTCTATTGGCCGAGTCAACTTTTTTGGTGTGGTTGATTTCGCTTCAATTCTGAGACATTTGCTGTTTGATTTGAAGTCTTTGAGCGTTAATGTGAACTTTTGTCACCCACGTCTGATTGAATCTCCGTTCTTTCATTTTCTAAACTTGGATTTCAGGAACGGTGCATTATGAAAATAAAATACCAGCAAATAAATAATAATCGAAATAGAATAAATAAAGAAAGTGTATGTTAAACATAAATAATTAAAATAATATTTACAAAATGAGCAAAAAAATAAAGCCCAAACTAGGATCTTATTTTAATCGGATTGCTATCTACTGTTTTACAGATGAGTCATGCAGACTCGTTCCAGCCCTTCTGATCATCCCTTCCCGTTAAGGACATTGATGTTATTGGTATATCGAGTACTGGTACCTATGTTTACATCCGGAGTTAATAGTGTATTAATGTAGAATTAAAATACATAAAAAAGTTAATATTTTAATTAAATCTACCCTATGTAGATCACGTGAAACTTACCTCAATGCACCCTTCCCAGCACACCCACATTGTTACGTAACATGTGAAAATTGTCAACTGATTTTAAATCTTGTTTTTTTTTTCGATTTTTCATTTGATGTTGTTCTCGATTTTCATTTGCTAGCCGTGTTTTGCGCCTAGTTCTACATCGCTTAGCTTTGATTCGGAACATATATTAATCCAGAATGAATCATCACCAAGACCGCCGCTTTGCACCAAGTCTACTTTCCCGACCCTAAACCAAAACCATAACCATTATGATTTATTTGGATGCAGAAATATAAATATAAATCATAGTATATGCGAGTCGTGATATCGCGAAGAGTGCGGGGTACGAGGGTCCTTCCCCTTTGATATTACTAACACTACTTATACAGCCCTCATTCTCAGGCTCTAGCTGGGATTTATCTGCCCCATATCTCAGGCATCTTTCTTATAAGTAGCGCAGGAACAGCAAATGTTATTGGTCAAAACAACGTCACATATTCGTTTGTTAAATATTGATATTGGCTCTCTCAGGGTAATTCTTGTCATTTTGCCTATGATGTCATAACATCCGGGCACTAAGATTGTTGCAGACGACAAATATTTACGATTCATGTGTGGCACTTTCGATTGCAGTTATCTACTGACACCTAATTACGATTTTACCTCGAAAAAAAAATCATTTTAGCTCATAGTTTCAGTTGTTTTACTGTGGAGATGTTCTTACTGGCTGATAAAACAGTCACTGTCTTTGGCTTCGGTCTATATAACAAATTATCCTCTTAAAGTGACTGTTATTGACTCGGATCTCAGCTTTTTGCTGCGGCCAATAACAGCCACTTGGGGTGAAAATTCTTGATATCGACCTCAGGCGAAAATATGTATTATATTCTAAATGATTGCATGTCGAAATAAATGCAATTGATGGCTATTAATGAAAAACCGTAATTTTTGAATCCATTTAACTTTTATGCGCTATGGAATACAGTTTTCGTTCTGAATTGCCGCGGTAACATTGTTGAATCCAGCCGACTCCTAAAACATGTCTCATATTCATTCCATGGTTGTTAAAATTTTAAAAAAATCAAGTATTCGGCCAAAAAGTAGTTTTTTCCCCCCACAGGCCACCATTCTACAATTCTATATTACAGAGTTGTCTCTTTGCACCAAGTCATCAACTTCACAAACTACTTTCCCGACCCCTAGACCAAAACTATAACCATTATGATTTATTTGGATGCAGAAATATAAATATAAATCATGAAGTGTATACGATTCGTGATATCGCGAGAGTGCGTGGTACGAGAGTCCTTCCCCTTACTGTCACAACATTCATTCACTGAATCAGATATATCGCGCCCTCTATTGACGAAATGATTTTGTGACGTCAATATACGCCGATAACAAATTAATATTATTATAATTTATC